TTTCCCTTGCCTGAGGAGACAGATCCAAAAATATATGCTAAGACCAATGTCAGAGAGCATACTGCCTCTGTTTTCTTTTTAGAAGTTTTAGGGTTTCAGGTCTTACATTTAAGTCTTTAATCCATTTTGAGTTTTATTTTTGTATATGGTGTGAGAAAGTAGTCCAGTTTGATTCTTTTGCATATAGCTATCCAGTATTCCCAATGTCATTTATTGAAGAGGCTGTTTTTCCCCATTGTATATTCTTGCTTCCTTTGTCATGGATTAATTGACCATATAAGCATGGATTACCAGGGCTATATGCTTAGGGGTGCCTCCTATGTGGGTTGTGTGAGCCCTCCTATTGTGAATGACTACTATGGGTGTACTGGTAGGCAGGGCAGCTCCTGGCCTGGTTGGCTGCCAGACCCTGTCTTGTGTGGAGGCTGCTGGCCACTGGAAGGTGGGAGCCAGTCCCTGGGCAAGGGATGGGATTGTCGAGTAGGTCCATGGCTAGTGCCAGCCTGCTGGTGGGTGGACCTGGGTTGCTGCAGGACTAGCTACTTGGTATGGAAGTGTTCTAGGACTGGTGCTGACCAGCTGGTCGGCGGGTAAGCCAGAGACTTCTGCCACAGGGCAAAGCCCCAGTCACACCTGACCCACAGACTCAGCTGTGGAACTTCAAGGATGCAGCAGAGAATGGGGGAGAGGCTGCCCTGGCAAGGTTTCTTTCGCCTAAAGGACACCTTCTCTTCTCTTGTCTGTGTCATCCCTAACTTTCACTCTTGAGAAAACACTAAATATTGGAGGATCAGAAAGAGGGCATCTGGTGTATTGAGACACCCATTAGCATTTTGATAAGTCCCCCAAGGTGCACCTCGAGGTCTCTTGATATTTTCCATTTGAGGAACTGATGCAGTTCCAGTTCAGGGGTTTCTCCCTGTAGACAGGGCACCCAGTTTGTAAGGCACTGTTTTGCACAAACATCACAGGCTTAGTGGACTTGGAAGTCACATTTGGGGCATTCTTGCCATTTGGTTTTTTGAATTTCTGGGCATCTCTTTGCCATTTGCTTTTTTTGGGTAACTAACTTCCTGCTGGCGTGATTCGGTTTGGTTTGTTTGCTTTGAGTGCACAGATATTTTGTACTAATTGCTTCCTCTAAGGTTCCACCTCTAAGTCCCCTAGGAAAAATCCTAAGTGATTGGTAGACCTATCGTTATGATCCAATGAGGAGAAAACAAAAACTTGACAAAACTTTAACAAAGGCTTTCTAGGGGGAAACTTGCATTTCTGTCTTGGAGATGTAAATGTTCTATCTGATCTTCCTAGGACAATCTGTGTTTGTGTGTTTGTTATGTATGTGTTTTGAAAACTCTGACCTTTTGGACAAAGGTCACAGGTCTAATGGAACTGGGAAGCCATGTTAATGTGACTCTCTGGCTGACTAGGTTTTGGTTTATTCTGGTTACTTTGGTAATGCATAGACATCTGATACTAACTGCTTCCTCTAAGGCTTCCTCTACATTCTCTTGTTTCTTTCTCCTCAAACCCTCTGTGAACAGGCAAGTGGCTATGGAAGCAACTGAGGAACTCTGGCCAGGATTACTCTGGTGTGTTCCAAAGGCCCCGCAGCCCACTGTGCCACAGTATCTGCCACCCAAGCGAGTGAAGGCTCTTGTTTCTTTCTGCCTTAAGTTGAGAACCAGGCCAATTAAAATTGTGCAAGCACAGGTCAGGCACTTTTAAAAGCCATTAGGGTGCCGCTGCTTGAAGACTCCCTTGACAGGATAAGGTGGATCATGGAATGGACCAGGCTACTAGGGTATCCACCCCCAACAAGACAACTTCCGTGCAATGCCAGACACATCTGGTTCAAGCCTAACACTGAGTCCACTTTTCCCTGGCCACTGCCTTCCTGGCAAGACTATGAGGTGGATACCTCAGCCTATCTTTCCTGTTACCTTCACCTCTTTCCCCCTTGGTCCAGATTGATTTACAGGAGGCTAAGTGTTGCCTCTGAGCCTTCCCAAGAGGCCTTCTTCCCTAAGCTAGAAAAGGAAGAGTAAAACTTTCCAACATAGGTAAATTGGTATGTCAGTCCTTCAGTTTCACTGAGGTAGCCACACAATTCTTTTTTTAAAAAAAGAAAAACAAAAATATCCTTGTTTTACAAATGTAATCTTTACAGGACCATAAGGATGGCTCCAAAATTAATCCAAAACCCACCAATCCTTTTACCACTTCCCAAATCTTCCATGTTTATCTTAAGAGACTTGTAAATATTTTCAAAAAGGGGAAACAAAGTCATCCTAGGAAGACTTGCCTGTATCTTTGAGATGCAAGTGTCCTATCTGGTCTTCTCAGGACCATTCATCTCTGCTGTCTTTTAAAATGCAAATTTTAGAGGGGGTAAACTAGAAGTTGGCTTGTCCAAGGTAAATAGAAATCCTAAATGCTTTTTCTGCAAATATTTAGCCATCTAGTCAAGTGAATTTGACTTGTTTCATCGTCAGAAACCCAATTTTAATGCAACTTCTTTTGTAAACTGATGGGTTTTACATTGCTGAACCTGACTCAGGACTGAAATCTTGAAATAAGAACTGAGGTCTCTCTGTGTGTGTACATGTCTTTGACTTTGGATAACATTGCCTTGGTTTATTTGTAAAAGAGCTCTATTTAATTGACTTAAATAAAAGTAAGTGCTTACAAACACTTGAAAATACAAAAGAAATTAAGCTAAGTGAGTTTCAGGCTCACATGAGCTGGGATATATTTATAATCAAATTAATATCTGAAATTAATGCTTTTTATTACAAATTTGTCAGCAAGAAAAGGAACTTGGTATGAAGAAACTTTTAAGGACAGAAAATGTAAATGAAATAAGAGCTTTAGATAAATTCTCTTAAAGCTAATAGTGGCATAGTGGTAAAGAATCTGCCTGCCAATGTCGGAGATGCAGGTTTCATTCCTGGCTTGGGAAGATCCCCTGGAGGAGGAAATGTCAACCCACTCCAGTATTCTTACCTGGAAAACCCCATGGACAGAGGAACTTGGTGGACTACAGTCCATGGGGTCACAGAGTTGGATACGACTGAGCATTCAATATTAAGAGAAAAAAATGACATTATATTCTTATATCATACCTATAAAAATCAATGCCAGACATATCAAATGCTTAAATATGAAAGGCAAAACTTTTTAGAAAGTATCTGTTTGCCTTTGGGATAAGGAAGCATCTTTTGGATAGCACACAGAAATGGTAACCATAAAAGAAAGATTAATAAGCTTAACTAGATTAAAATTAAGAACTTCTGGGACTTCCCTGGTGGTCCAGTGGCTGACTCCATGCTCCCAGTGTAGAGGGCCCAGGTGCTATTCCTGATTGGGAAACTAGATCCCACATGCCACAGCTAAGAGTTTACATGCCACAGGTAAAAGATCCTGCAGGCTGCAACTAAGACCCAGCACAGCCAAATAAATAAATAAAATATTTTTAAAAGGATAAAACAAAAATTAAGAACTTTTGTCCATCAAAAGACACCCCCATGGCGGATTCAAGTCAATGTATGGCAAAACCAGTATAATGTTGTAAAGTAAAATAAATAATTTTTTAAAAGACACCCCCCAAAAATTCAAAAACTGGATGAAGATGTTTGCAATAGTATATTCAACAAAGGCATTCAGTATATATAAAGAACTAATACAAATAAGAAAAAGACAATCCAGTAGAAAAAAAATTCAAAAATATTAGGAGGTATTTCATGAAAGAGGATGTGTAGATGACTATAGGTATATGAAATGTTGAACATAATTAGTAGTAAGAGAAGTACAAAATAAGACCACGACAGATTGCCATTTTGTATCATTAGATTGACAAAAAATAAGAAATATAGGAATTTCCCTGGCTATCCAGAGATTAAGACTGTGCTTCCACTGCAGGGGGCACAGGTTCGATCCCTGGTCAGGGAACTAAGATTCCATATGCTGTGTGGTACAGCCAAAATAAATAAATTTAACAGAACCAAAATTTGGAGAGGATGTGGCTCAATGGAATTCTTGCACATTGCTGCTGAAACTGTTAATAGTTTAATATTTAATATTTAGTAAATATTAATGAATATTTATAATATTAATAAACTAAGTGAAGAGTTAATAAATACTACTTGAGAATAGTTTGGAATTATCCTATAGAGTGACTTCCCTGGTGGTTCAGACAGCAAAGCATCTGCCTACAATGTGGGAGACCTGGATTTGATCCCTGGGTTGGAAAGATCCTCTGGAGAAGGAAATGGCAACCCACTCCAGTACTCTTGCCTGGAAAATCCCATGGACAGAGGAGCATGGTAGGCTCCTACAGTCCATGGGGTCGCAAAGAGTCAGACACGACTGAACGACTTCTTCATCCTGTAGAGTGGAACATTTGCATATTTTATAATCCAGGGTTTCCCTTCTGGATATAATACCTTAGAAAATGTTTGCCTGTGTGTACAAGGAGATATGTAGAAAAAAAATTCATAGTGACTGTTTGTTATGACAAAAGCTGTAAATAATCCAGATGTCCAGCAATATGATGAGGAGTAAATAGAATTGTAGTATATCAACACCCTGGAACATTATTCACAGTAGAAATGAGGAAAAAATGCTGCATGCAGCTGCATGGATGAAGTTTAAAACCATAATGTTAAGTGGGAAAAAAAGTAGCCCTAGAATACCACATTATGGTATTACTCCATTCATTTAAAGTTCAAAAACAAATCCAAATAGTGTACTATTTCGGCAAAAACACTTAAGTGATTTTTTTAAAAAAAAACCTCTTTTTAAAAATTTAAGTATATGGTAAAACACAAAGATAAGTGGATGTGATAATGTCAGAGTAGATAGAAGAAAGCTATTGATAATCTAGTTCTCAGGTTTAGTGGTGGACTCAAAGCAGTCAATCTATTTTTTGCTGTGTGATATATACATGTGTATATTATTTTATATGTATATCATATTAAAGTAATATATTTCTTTTTCAGAAATCTGCCTGAATATTCGAGATCCTCCAACTAATATAATTATCATCCCAGAAAAGCAGGTGAAACCAGAATGGAGATTGCCAAAATTAAATCACCGTTTTGTTACGAGGTAAAATAGATTCTTGTAAAATATCTCAAATATTAATTTCCACTGTTAGTCACTGAAACAAGGTATTATAATTTGCTCAAAATCTACCCCAAATTATGCTGTAGCAGTTAAATAGATATGATTTTCATTCATATTTGTAGAATGCTCTTTTGCTGTTTAAAAATAAAATATCTATTTAATAATTTTCCTTCTTTTAGATCAGAACTGGATAAGATGCCAAATAATTCTATCTGTGATGTTATTGGCGTTTTGGTTTTTGTAGGAAGGGTCCAGCGGTCAAAAAAGAAGGGTAAGCTTTTGATATTGAAAGTCATAAAATGTATTTCAGTGAATAATTCTGTGTTCATATGTGCATAATCCATTGTCTTCATTTATTCTAATGTTCTATCCATATAGATAGCCATGAAGATTTTTGGTCATATCGCTGGATTCACATTGCTGACGGGACTTCAGAACAACCATTTATAGTGGAGCTGTTTTCAACATCTCAGCCAGAAATCTTTGAACATATTTACCCAAGTACTCAGTTCAAATATTATTATCATTTTATATTTGGAAATGGGAGCATTAACTGAAAAAAATAGTAGAGTATACTAACTTACAGAATGCCATGATACTGAGCTAGCAAATTCAAGCAATCTGATAGCACATATACATTTTTTCTATATTAATATTATAAATGGTATTATAGATACTGTCTTCTGGTTTTCTATTCAGAATTAATTTGGGATTGAAACTAGTTTTTTTTTAATTCTCACTTTTAGCATTTTAGACATAAAAGCTTAAAATTCAGTGAAACTAAAGCATAGACCATTTCCTTTGTATCCATTTGGAAATTGAATTAATAGACCCCATTTAAGACAATGAAGACTTTACTAATGTAGAATTAACTGGTAGAGGATTGAGGAACTATGTAATTAAATAATGACAGTGGTAAGTATGATGTCCTTTGAGTATGAAATTAATATTAGGTTAATGGTGTTATACCACCTGGTCAATATTTTACTTACTTTGATGTTGATTTTTCCCCTTATTATTCATATACATAGGTATTTTTTCCACTTCTTTTATTTATTTCAAGACATTTAAAGTATGTCCTACTACGTATTTTATGTAACAACTTAGTCTACAAATCTATTTTGATGAGGAAAAATATATTTAATACTTTGTTATAACAACTTCAGTGAAATTTTTCCTTGTTTGAATTTGTAACATAAAGCTATTTTAGATATGGTGAGCTATTTTCCAAATGACTATATGAATGAAATTGTTAAATGCTTGCCAAAATTGGGAAAATTATCAATCTTGACTACATGTATTTTTTTTGATCAGCAACAACATAGAGGTGGTAGAACATCGGGATACCGAGAGACCATATATAGGGCTATTCTGCTACCCCTTCATTATCTATTGTAAAATAGTATTACCCACTATTCAGATATTACCTCATTAGAATCCATCTTATGCCTGTGAGATTAAATTATATATGAATAGAACTAAATATTTCCCCAACTATGATTGGAGGGGAGAGCAGAAGGGGAGTTTTGACCAAAACCAAGGTATGGGTTCCCAAGGTAAGTGGGGCTTTGACCTTTCATATAACTTCTCTCAGGGCATAGATGGTTGATAGTGATGATTGCTCATGACAATTTAGATGGGTTTTATGGCCAGGTCCCTCTCTCTTTATAGCCACTGTAGCTGTTTTAATAGCTAATGGACACAGGTTTTGGCAAATGATTTTTCACAGAAATGTTGCCATGTAGTCACATTCTATTTCTTATGGAAACATGAAATATATCTTTTAAGAAAAGTTTATATGGAGCTTAGTGAGATTTACTCTAGTACAAGAGTTGACAACAATCACTGTTCATTTTCATCTTTTGACTAAGAGTGAAGGAAAAAATTGTGAAATAAATGGTGAATATTAAGGAACTTCAGGCCTATGAAGGAGAACATGACTAAGGATCTTCTGGAACAGTACCAGAATCCTTTGGTAGTAGAGCATCTGTTTTACTTTGTATGTGTGTGTACTCAGAATCACAGGCTTTGGCGATTCATGGTGCTGTGGAAGGCCCATGGTGTGTGCATGCTGGGGCACTGCTGGCCCAGGGCCACCTTTTTTACTTTTCCTTAAGGAAAGTGAAGAACTAGGGAAATTTTTTTCACTGCTTACTATATATTAGTTGCTCACAAATGTTAATTAATTTTGTACTTACAGTTACCTTTTAAAGAGGTGATGTTTTTACAAATTTATGGGTGAGGAAATAAAGGTCAAGAGAGATTTTAAACAGCTAGAAGGTGTTAGGTTCAAAAGTCTTATTTTTAGCAATCATGAAATTAAAATGAGAGATTTCTTTAGTATTCTTATGTCAGCATCTTCAATCATGAATACTCATATCTTTGTACAGTTTTTGAAATAAATGAAAAACAATATAAATCAAGAGAATTATTCTTAGTCATTTGAACGGATTTTATTTCTTTTCATTGCTTCAAATTAAAGAACTAGTAAATGAGAGATACAGGAAATAAATTTATAGATATTATCATGCTCTAGGGAAATATTTATTCTCAAAAGAGAGCTTACTGTTGATAGGAAATTGCAAGTATTTATATTTTATTTCTTCATTTCCTAATTTGTAAGACAACTGTTTTGGCACATAGTAAGTTAAAATTTTAAAGATATTGTTGGAAAAGTAAACTCTTCCTAAATAACCTGATAGTTAAAAAACAGTTGATAGCTTTTGAAAGTGGTTGAAATCTGAAGACACGATAATCTCATTTTCAAGGAATCTTTTTAGTCTATCTAGTTGGTGAGGAAAGCCAACAGAAAAGAATACGTGGTAGAAGCCCTGTCTTTGAGATTTAAAGTCTAATTGAGAGAAACACAATTAAAACACTTGCATAAACAAGTTCACATTAATAGTGTGTAGCCCTATCTGATGGAAAGAGAGAGTAATTTCAGGGATCAAGGTTAGATTGGGTTAATCAGTGAAAACATCATGGAGAAGCTCAGTTTTTTTCTCTGTAGGAAATAACGGTTCACACTCTGTTGTGTGGCCAATTATAAGACTTTTGCTCTTCAACTGTCCAGCAAGCAGGGCCTTCAGTTATGTGCAGCTGCTATATTAATGCTTCCTAAAGGAAAAGTGTTAGATCCTTGTTGCTCCAAGTGTGGTCAAAGGGCTAACAGCACTAGTATCACCTAAGATCTCACTAGCAAAGAATTTCAGGCCCCACACTAAAACTACTGAATCTGAATTTACATTTTAACAATTTTCCCAAGTGATTCCTGGTTCAGTAAAACTTGAGAAGCACTCTGTTAGATCGTGATCTAGGTATTTCCCTTTGAAATGCATAAATAATTTCATAAGTGTTTTCTTTTCCTGCAGTGACATATTTCACGTGTACACAGCTGAAAGTTGTCAAAAATTATGCTCAAGTACCTAAACTGCTTTACCTGACCACTACAAACGAGAGTCATATATTTATTACTGGTAAGCAATTTCTTTGTATATACTTAATTGGAAATCTAATATATTTTCTCTTCATTAAATTGAGTTTTCTATTATAACATTCAACCACAAGATAGCCTTACTTTGATCTCCTTCACTATAAGATTGGTTTAACAAAGAATATGTGTGTGTGCACATGTGTGCACAGTAGTTGCTCAGTCATGTCTGACTCTTTGCAACCCCGTGGACTGTATAGCTCACCAGGCTCCTCTGTCCATGGAATTCTCCAGGCATGAATACTGGAGTGGGTTGCCATTCCATTCTCCAGGGGATCTTCCCAACCCAGGGATCGAACCTGGGTCTTCTGCAGTGCAGGCAGATTCTTTACCATCTGAGCACCAGGAAGCCCCAACAAAGAATATACAGCCTATGAAATCTATTGCTTCAAGATGATTTACAGTTCAAGCAACGATTTTCTGACTTCTGAAGAATTTTATGTCCTTTGGTTAACTTTAATTCCTGCTTAATGTTAAGTTAGATAATCATAAATGGCTTCATAGATTGAAGACTGTTTGGCCCTGTATCACAATAAGGATTCAACTAACAGTAGTTTTAAAATATTAAAATGAAAATGTATGTTAAATTTTGGTCCCCAGACTTGCATTTTACTTACATAGCAAGCAAAGTCTCACTGCTTATCTACAAGTTTATTATTTTTTTCCATTCCCTCTGATAGTGTGGGCAATAAAATCAGATGAGTGAGAGTACTGTGGAATGTTGTACTTACTAGAATGCTGCCATCTTGGTAATTAGGAAATTTGTCAAAGAAGAGTCCTAGGAAGGATGTAATACACATCTTTGTTTATACCTCATTTTATAAATATGAATAATATCAGATCTAATATATACCAATAATATCAGATGTAAATGACACTTAAGTACATTTCAAAAACATGAATTTAAATGCTGAGCTATATTCACAGAAAATTTAGCTCATATGTGCTATCATACCTTCAGGTTAATACATAAAAATTGGTTAAGAAGATGCTAACCAGTTGGATAGTTAGAAAAGTCCGGGCTATCAGTTTTCTTTCTCTTCTGGCTTTTTTTGGTATCCTACAGACAGCTACAGTGTAGTCCACAGAAACTGTAATATGTTTGATTTCCTTCTAGATTTAATATTTATTAACCATCTTTGATAATTTTTGTATGCATATTCAGTATAATTATGTGCTACATAGTGAATAAGTTGACTTCTTGGTGACATAAGATTGATCATATATTAAAAAGTTTTTATACACAAAAATGTCCAGGCAGTTTACTACAGTGATTTGTGTTTTTTTCCCTTATTTTTTACCCTTCATGCAATGAGGTCATAAAGGCCAGCCGTATACCAATGATGCCAAGGTAAAAAACTTTATTCAGTGGATTAAAGCGAAGAACGATTCTGGCGAAGTGAAGAATACTGTTATGGGTGGATATTACCCCTATCCACCAGTGCCAGAGACATTTTTGAAGTATAGTAGTTCTCTTAAAGGTAATGATGAAATTACTAGTCGTTTATGATTATATGCTATATGTATGGTATATGCTTGTCATTTAGTCATCTTTATTCTTTAGTTTGAGTAGGCCAAAATGTAGCAACATTCACTGTTAATAATTTGATCTTTATCAAGATATAAAAACATACATCATGTCCCATAAAGGTGGATATTTTGATTTTATTAGACTGTAAGAAAAAAGGAATATAGACTGACTAAATGGAGATAATATCTTGATTTAAGGTCTTTGAGATAAAATCTGAGTTGGTAGATCCCAACTCCTATAACATTATTTAGATTAAACATATGAAAGGAAACATTGGACAATTTGATATCAAGATACAGAAAACTGTATTAGGCCACTTTTATGGAATGATACATAGATATCCCTTGGTATCCATAGAGGATTGGTTCAAGGAGCCCCATGGATACCTAAATCTACAGATGCTCAAAATGCCTTACATAAGGGATATATAGGGATTACAGTTGGCTCTTTGTATCCGCAGGTTTGCAAAACTTATGGATATGTGTATTGCAAAACTTATGGATGACTGTGTATTGGATATAACACAGTTGAGGCTCCACCTTTAAATAAAAATGATCTCAAAATTAGTGAGATTCAGAATAAGTACTGATGAGAGACAACGTTAATTTATTTTAGTAGAATTAAAATATGATAGTTGAAAGGTTTAGCATATATTCTTTTTGACAAGCTATGGGATAATTGCACAGCTTTGGAAAAAAAGAAACTTTGAAATACTGATCTATCATCAGCTAAATATTGGCATCCTTCTATACTTCATAATGCCAGCAATATGTAGTATATGCTATATATAGCATATAGAATATAGAAAATATTAACATGTGCTTCTATGCAATGGCTAAGAAACACTTTATAGTGTGAAGTATGATACATAAATTACATTTAATATGTAAAATTTCTGTTTCAAATTAAGACACCAGACTAGAAGACTGTATCACAATTTAACTGAAATATGTTTTGCTAGTTTTACCAACATTACATAAGGGGATGCCAAATATAAGCACAAAGTCTCACATATTTAAGTTATGTAGCAAGTTTATAATTTTCATGTTGTGAAATTACATTGCAAATCTAATTCTTATTTTTGTCATTTCAGTTCTTTAAAACTTAAAATTTCCTTGGAATTACTCTTTTGCAGTTGAATCACTCTTGACAGCTCTAAGTGAAGTAAAGGTGGAGATTGAAGACTTGCAGTATAGAGAACAAAAGCGCATTGCAATTCAGGGAATAATTACCGTTATAAAGTATGTCCCACATAGCAGTGCAACTGAAAGTGCCTCAGCATCTGAAACACTACGGGTATGGTGCCAGAGGATTAATAGTATATCTCTGAAAGCACTGTGTTTGTAATCACAATTGGTATTACATCTTGTATAATTCATTCAGAACTCACATGTATTAACTCTTAATGATGTAGACCTAAAAGGAAAAGCTTCATTTTTAGTTTGTTTTCTTTTATGTCATTTATTAAGTTTGGACTGAATGTCACAGCCTCTGATATTTCCCTAGGCCCTCCAAACTTGGTATCTTGTTTTTGCTTTCTGTGTAATATGAGCCTGTCATGATAGCCTTTATTTAGATTTCCAGGTGGTATTTATGATTACATTCATTTCTTACCTTTTGTCCAGGCCGAAAGTATAGGTACATTCCCACTGAAAGTTTTTAGCTCTATTGTCAGACTTGGCAGTTATACCCAGATTTTATTAAGAGGTAGCAGTGACTCTTGGAGGATAAATGCTATAGAAGAGGCCACTTCTGGACTCTAGGCAAAATCAAGACAAGTTAATTTTTTTCATGAGTTTATGTTTTTAAAAGTTATTTCTAAGATTACTATTCTTATGGAAAGAAGCATCTAATCCAGCTTTACAGTTATATAAGAAAGACTTTTGTTATTCTTTTTGAAATATGTTACTAGCAGTTAGATTAAGATAAATCAACTTTATAAAAGCATTGTTATGATTACAATTTTGTCACAAGTTACGAAAAATGAATACACTAAAAGTGTAAAGTCTTTTAAGAGAGAAATAATTTTTGTGAATTAGTTTAAAATGTTTTCTTCAAATTTTTGGTTTTAGAATGCTAACCAACCCTCAACATCCGAAGCAGCTAGAAAAGAAAGTCAAAGTCAGGAAAAAGATGGTAAACATCATCACGATGATGGTTCTGGGAGTTCTCAATATTGTCGTTCTGCACGTGCAAGTTCAAGCCCTGTCACGAAGAAAAAAATTATGCAAACCCCAAGTGGCAAACAGTAAGTCATTTGTATTAAGTATATACATAGCATATGCTTTTTCATTTGTTTCTATCCCATAGAATGAGCAGCGCTACTAGAAGTTGTATAGTTTTCTACGGCTGCCAAAGTCCAAAATCAAGGTATAGGCAGGGTGGGTTCCCTCTGAAGGCTATGAGGAAGACTCTGTTCCATGCATCTCCCTTAGCTTCTAGTGGTTTAGTGGCAATCTGTAGCATTCCTTGGCTTATGGAAGTTATCACTTGAATCTCTGCCTTGGTCTTCACATGGCATTCTCCCTGTGGGTATATATGTGTCCAAGTTTTTCTTTAAGGACAACAACCTATTGGATTAGGGACCCGCTCTGGAGTACCAGTCTACTTTAGTATGAACTCATTTTAACTGATTACATCTTCAATGACCCTACTTCCAAATAAGGTCATATTCTTATGGTCCTTGAACATGTAATTGGTTACATATTGGTAGTCAGGGTGATGTTTGGCAGGAACATAATTCAGTCCTTAACAGTCTGCCCTCTAAAAACTCATGTCCTTCTCACATATAAAATACATTCACTCTATCAGAACATCCCCCAAAGTCTTAATCTATACCATTATTAACTCTCATTCCTAAATATCATATAAATCTCATATGGATAAGATGCAGGGTGTTTCATCCTGGAACAAAATTCTTTTCCATCTGTGAGCCTATGAAACTAGACATATTACCTTCCAAAATACAATGGTGGGACAGACATAGGGTAAGTATTCCCATTTCAAGAGGGAGAAATTGGGAATAAAAAGGAGGTTATGGGTCACAGGCAAATTTGAAACCTAGCAAGGCAAATACCATTTGGCCTTAAGGCCCCAGAATTATCCTCTCTGGCAGAGTACTGTGTCCTTTGGGCCCACTGAGATGGCAGCCCCACCCTCATGGCACTGAGTGGTGGTACTGCACTCTGGAACTGAGAAAGTGGCCCTGGCTTCTGGAATTCAGGAGGTGTCCCTGCCTTCTAGAATGGAAGAAATGACCTCACTCCTCAGGGTCATTTTTCCCTTTTCTTGAAGGATAGTACTTGATCACAGCTAGATATCTCTGTCAGCTCATTTCCTGACTGTAGAATCCCAGAAGTCCAATGGCATTGCATTCCTGCATTTCTTCCCACCTATGTCCCTTTCAGTTGAAGCTAATAGCATGCCTACTGAGTTGGTTGACTGGATCCACAAGTTGTAATCTCTTGGGCAAATGGTTATCTAGCAATGCTGTTAGTATGCTTCCCAAAGCAAGCTTTCACATGTTTTCCAATATTGAGAGGCTGATAATTTTTCAAGTATTGATGGTTCTTTTTTTGTTTTTATTTCATTTTTTTTTGGCCATGCTGCACAGCTTGTGGGATCTTAGTTCCCCACCCAGGGATTGAACCCGGGCCCTTGGCAGTGAAAGTGTGGAGTCCTAACCACTGGACCTCCAGGGAATTCCTTGATTCTTTTTTTCTTAACAATTCCTTTTCAACTCTTCTCCCTTCTTGTATTTTACTATAAGCATCAAGAAGAAACCAGACTATGTCTTCAACACTTTGCTTAGAAATCTTTTCATCTAAATATACAAGTTCATCTTATACATGTTTCACTTTCCATCCAACAGAATAAATACAGTTTGGCCACGTACTCTGCCACTTTGTGTTAAGGATTATCTTTCACTCAGTTTCCAATAACATTTCTGTCTGAAACCTTACCAGAAGCAAATTTTACCTTAACATTTCTAGTTCTGTTCATGACACTGAATGTATTCTCTTAGACAGCAGAAACTTTCTTTACCACTCCTTTTCTTTCAGAGCTCTCAAGAGATTCTCCTTCAAATTCCATATTTCAACCAACATTCTCTTGAGGGCTATCTAGGCTTTTTATGTTATGCCTCTCAAAAACCTTCCCAACCCAGGGAATGAACTCACATCTCTTGGCATCTCCTGCATTGCAGGTGGATTCTTTACTGCTGAGCCATCGGGAAAGCCTCCTTCACTTAAACCCAATTCCAAAGCCACTTCTGTGTTTTTATGTATTTTTTATAGCAGCACACCACTTAGTGATACCAAAATCTGTATTAATTTTCTAGGGCTGCTATAACAAAGTACCACAAACTGACTTATACAACAGAAATTTATTGTTTCACAGCCTTGTAAGTCAAAATCAAGGTATCAGTAGAATGGATTCCTTTTGAGGGCTGTGAGAAAGTCTGCCCCATGCCTTACCCCTAGCATCTGGTGATTTGCTAGCCATCTCTGGCTTTCCTTAGCGTGTATAAATATCACTCCAATCTCTGTGTCCAAATTTCCCCATGTGATAAGGGCATCAGTCATTGGATTAGGGGCTCACCCTACTCTAGTATGACCACATCTTAACTAAATTACATCTTCAGTTACCCTATATCTAAATAAGGTCAAATTCCAAAGTAATGGGGATTAGGACTTCAGTGTGAATATTGAGGGGGCACAGTTCAACCCATAATATAAGCTCTTATCTGCCATGTTCAGCATGGACTAATTGAATGTAAGTTTAAAGTAGGGAATTACAAAAAGAAAATAACCATTTTTGTCTTTTTTTAATTCTACATATAAGGGAGATCATACAGTATTTGTCTTTCCTAGTCTGACTTATTTCACTTAGTATGATAATCTCCGGGTCCATCCATGTTGTTACAAATGATAAGATTTCATCTTTTTATGGCTGAGTAGTATTCCACTGTATATACAACATCTTTATCCATCTGTGATGAGATTATTTCCATTATCTTGGCTGTTACCAATATTGCTGTTGTGAACATAGGGGTGCATGTATCTTTTCTATTTTTTAAATTTTTTGACCATGCCATGAAGCTTGCAGGATCTTAGTTTCGCAAACAGGTATCAAACCCATGCCCCCTGCAGTGGAAGCACAGAGTCTTAACCACTGGACCGCCAAGGAAGTCCCAGCTGTCTTTTTGATAACAGACATTCTGACAGGTGTGAAGGTTTGAGATAATAATCTCATTGTGGTGTTCATTTGCATTTCCTTGATAATTAGTAATGTTGAACATCTTTTCCTGTCGCTGTTGTCTATCTGTATGACTTCTTTGGAAAAAAGTCTATTCAGGTCCTCTGCTCATTTTTTATTTAGATTGTTTATTTTTTTGAAGCTGAGTTGTATGAGTTTTTTTATATATTATGTATCTTAACCCTTGATGGGATATGTGATTTGCAAATACCTTCTCTCATTTGGTAAGTTGTCTTTTAATTTTGTTGCTGGTTTTCTTTGCCATGCAAAAACTTTTTAGTTTAATGTAGTCCCATTTGTGTTTATTTTTGGTTTTGTTTCCCTTGCCTGAGGAGACCTATCTATACAGATAATTCTAAAACCAAAGTCAAAGATCATACTGCCTATGTTTTCTTCTGTGAGTTTTATGGTCTCAAGACCTACATTCAAGTCTTGTCTTTATTTTGAGTTAATTTTGTGTGTGGTGGGAGATAGTGGTCCAGTTTCATTTTTTTGCATGTGACTGTCCAGTTTTCCCAATACCATTTATTGAAGAGACTTCTTCCACCACTGTATGTTCTTTGTTCCCTTGTTATAAATAAATTGTTCATATATGTATGAGTTTATTTCTGAGATTTCAGTTCTGTTTCATTGATTTATGTGTCAGTTTTTCTGCCAATATCATATTGTTTTGATTATTATAGCTGTGTATATAGTGTGAAATCAGGAAGTATGATACCTCCAGTTCTGTTCTCATGATTGCTTTGGTTATTTGGTGTCTACTGTGGTTCCAAATAAATTTTTGAATTTTTGTTCTATTTCTGGGAAAAATGTCTTTGGGATTTTGATAGGAATTATAGTGAATCTGTAGATTGCTTTAGGTGATATGGACATTTTAAATTAGGAAGCATTCCCTTCAATTTTTTGGAAGAATTTTAAAAGATATGTATTAAATCATCTTTGAATGTTTGGTAGAATTCACTTATGAAGTTGTCTGGTCCTGGAGTTTTGGTTTGGGGGTGGTTTTTTATTGTTTGATCATTTTACTGATCACTATACTAGTGATCAGTCTATTCAGATTTTCTGTTTCTTCATGATTCAGTCTTAGAAGCTTGTATGACTCTAAAATCTGTCCATTTCTTCTACCTTGTCCAATTTTAGGCTTGAAGTCTATTTTGTCTGATATGAGTATGGCTACACCTGCTTTCTTTTGTCTGCCCTTTGCTTGAAGCATCATCTTCCATGCCTTCATTTTGACCTTATGTTTCTCTTTATAGAGTTGAGATGAGTCTCCTGGAGGCAACATAAAATTGTGTCTTGCTTTTTAATCCATCCAGCCACTGTATCTTTTCATTGGTGAATTCAATCCATTTACATTTAGGGTGGTTATTGATAGATGAGGATTTAGTTACTCCCATCTTATCATCTGTTTTCTGGTTGCTCTCTTGTTGTTCAGTCGTTCAGTCCTGTCTGACTCTTTGTGGCCCAATGGACTGCAGCATGCCAGGTTTCCGTGTCCTTCACTACCTCCTGGAGTTTGCTCAAACTCACGTCCATTGCTGCTGCTGCTGCTAAGTTGCTTCAGTTGTGTCTGACTCTGTGCGACCCCTCAGACAGCAGCCCACCAGGCTCTCCCATCCCTGGGATTCTGCAGGCAAGAATAGTGGAGTGGGTTGCCATTTCCTTCTCCAATGCATGCACGCATGCTAAGTTGCTTCAGTCATGTCCGACTCTATGCAACCCTATGGACAGCAGCCCACCAGGCTCCTCTGTCCACAGGATTCTCGGCAAGAATACTGGAGTGGGTTGCCAGTTCCTTCTCTCCATGTCCATTGAGTGCCATCCAACCATCTCACCCTCTGTCACCCCCTTCTCCTCCTGCCCTCAATCTTTCCCAGCATCAGGGTCTTTTCAAATGAGTCGGCTCTTCGCATCAGGTGACCTAAGTATTGGAAGTTCAGCTTCAGCGTCAGTCCTTCCAATGAATATTCAGGGTTGATTTCCTTTGGGAGT